GGGGTCTCTTGGGGTCGGTGGTTCTCGGGGCCCGTGGGTTCGGGATGGTGTATATGTATATATATATATATGATACAAATACACATACATACATACATACATACATACGTACGCACGTACATACGTACATACATACATACATACATAGATACATACATACATACAAACATACACACATACATACATACATGCATGCATACATACATACATACACACATCAATACATACACACATACGTACATACGTACATGCATGCATACATACATACATACATGCATACATACACACAAGTGGCACGCGTGTGCCCAGGCTCATACAAAACACTGAAGGGGCGTTTGAACCGGAGGAAATGCAACAGCGAAGTCGCACTCGGGCGCAAGCGGGGTTGCCACACCTTGCGATGCGCGTGCCAGCCCCCCCCCCTCCCAGGAAGCATCAGGAGGCCTGCCTGGATACACCAGAAGAGGCTCCAGGAGGTCCCAGGATTGTGAGTGCTGTGTGGGTGTGTGCGTGTGTGATGAGTGCTCTGTGTTGCGCGTGCTTTTTGTGTGATGTAGTTGTTGGTGTTGTTGGTGTTGGTGTTGGTGCTGTTGCTGTTGTTGTAGTTGCTGTTGTTGTTGATGTTACTGGTGTTGTTGTTGTTGCTGTTGTTGTTGGTGTTGTTATTGTGGTGTGTGTGTGGGTGTGTGCGTGCGTGTGCGCGTGTGTTATGTCTGTCTAGCGTGCGATGTGTTGGGCGCGAGGTGCGTCTCTGCGCGCGCATGTACCACGCGGCCTCGGGGGGCACCAGGAGAGCCCAGGAGGCTTCAGGAGGCTCCAGGAGGCAGCAGGAGGCACCAGGAGACCCCAGGTTTCAGGATAGCCCCAGGAGGCTCCGAGACGGGGTCTGGGGTACCAGAAGGTTCAGAAAACCCTTGGAGGCACCGCGAGGCCCCGGGAGGCCCCCAGGAGACTCCGAGGCGGGGTCTGGGGTACCAGAGGGCACGTCGGGGTTCGATGTTGGGAAGAGGTTTCCGGCGAAACCGCCATTCTCAGAGAGTCGGGGTCGCAATTATTGACATTGCCATGTGTTTTTGACGGTTGCATGTTAAACGGTTGAAATTCCAATGTGGTTTGGACCCTGGCGCCACGATCTGCGCGAGGGGTGCCACCGATTTTCAGAGTGTCGAGGATGTCCCTAGCGAAACGGCCAGAAAAATCGCGGACGCGGCGCCCCGCGCATAATCGCCTCTGAGCTCCATTCCCTCGATCGGAGAGGTGCGTGTATGTATGTCTTTATTTTTATATGTATATATATATATACACACATGCCGAGGGGGCCAATCGGCTCGCGGAAAACATTCGCTTGCCGCCGCCGCCAGGCCCGCCTCATTCGCAGATGCCTCTCGGCAAGCTCCGCCCCGGGCCCCCGCGAGAGATATATATATATATATATATATATAGAGAGAGAGAGAGAGAGAGAGAGAGAGAGAGAGAGAGAGAGAGAGAGAGAGAGAAACAAAACAAAACAAAAAACGGCGACAGTTGCGCGTTTGGCAGCCGCCCAGTGGCCCTCGGCTGCCAGGTTTGCCGGCTGGTTGGTTGGGCGCCCCCGCCACTTTTTTGGTGTATGTATACAATAATAGCAGGTAGCTCTGTGATCGTTGTTAGACTCGGTCAAAGCATGCTTCGCACGCGCATTTTTTTTTTGTCTTGCCGGACTTGCTGTTACTATTTGCTATATTAGATAACAGTTTCATTAAGCGTAGTAGTACTAAAACACCAAGAGATCCCTTTTCTTTTTTACAACTTAATTTAATGTGCTCGCAATCACTCACCAGAAGCATTAAATATAATTTTAAGATACGCCGTGTAAGACCCAGGGTTGAGTTTGCAATTTGTTTTGTTGATGTGGCTTTATTTATTGCACGTGGAGGCTCTTCAGCTTTAGCTTCTGGAACTTAACCAGCTTTATCTTGTAATGGTTCTACTCTAGACTCAAAAGCAGAATTCAATCCTATGTGTGCTTTAAGCGAAGTTGCATTATTCACACTAAGAATAATGATACCTGATCGACAGGTAGAGTAACATTTGCACCTGCTTTAGATATACGTATATGTTGTGATTCCGTTGGTTCAAGCATGGTTCTGTCTTATAGAGCAACGTTTGTACTAAAGCTTTCAGGGTAATATTTGAACTGTCTTCTCTATTTGGTTTTAAGTAGTTCAATTCAAAGAGCAGTAATTTACAAAAAAATGAATACACATGCGTGTAGCATTTACAAGTTGCGGCCACGCGCGCAGCCGTCTAGGCTCAGGCCCAGTGCGCGCCGCGTGTCATTATGGACAAGCACACAACAATGACAATTACAGCGAACACCCTTCTCTCTCGCCGCCGCTAGGGCGGCCCCTGCTGGCGAGCATATACGCGCGCACTCCTGCGGGCGAGCATATACGCGCGCGCACGTAAGCAAGTAGCGCCCATACGTGCACACGTATTACATGCAACTATCCCATTCGCGCTTATTTTAAGCCTCTTCGCTTATGATATATAGCTGCCGCTTAATTTAACTGGTTCGCTTGTTATACTGGCTGCTCGCTTAAATTAGCCGGCGCAGCTCCTCATGAGCCGTCCGCCAGGGCGTGGGCCCGGCGTCTGCGGTCTCCATCATCAGCATGATGATCGTGAGCAGGGCTGCGATGCGGCCGCGGCGCCCGCCCAAGGGCAGTGGCGCCAGGGCCCCGGGGCAGCTCCGCCAGGCGGGCCCCGGCGCGCACGTGCGCTCTGCCGCCCTCGCCTGGCGTCGAGCCGGCGCCGGCGCTGAGACGCGCCTGGCCGCCCGCTCGGCGGTGGCCGGCGGCGGCCGCGCCACGGCAGCCGCCTCTTCGCAATCAGGTGCTCCGCGGCTGGCGTGAGCCGGCGCCGCTCGGCGCCCGGGCCCTCCGCCGCTGCGCAGCTGCGCGCCCGCGGGCAGCGTCGCCGCCGCCCTCCAGCCGCGCGGCGCCAGGCGCGGCTCCATGCGGCCGCGGGCGCTTCCCCTTTCGGGCCCGGTCCCGGGTCCCAAAAGTCTTCTGGCCCCGGTCCCGGGGCCCGGCCTTAGGCCAACTGAGGCCGACCCCCAGCTTGGCCTTTGAAAAGGCTTGAGCCGCCAGGCGGCGGAAAGTGGGGAAGAAGCAGGAGAGGGCAAGCAAGGAGGCAAGGGCAGGAGCAAGGGAACCGCAAGTGGAAGCCCGCGCCAGTTCTGGAAACGGGGAGATCCATCAGTTTTATCAAACATCCTTAAGAGGCCCCAGGAGGCCCCAAAGAGGATCCCGAACGGCCCACAGAGGCCCCCGCTGGTTGAGGCATGGGGGCTTCGTTGGATGACTGCTATGCAGTATCGCTGGCACTTGCCTGTGGTCGCGGGGACACTTTTGAGGCCTCCTGGGGCCTTTTGGCACCCCTTGAGGGCTCTTTGGGAGGCCGGTGTCTGTGGGACTTTTTGGAGAGCCTTCCGAAGATTCTCCCGAGGGCATCTTGGAGGCTGTGTTGGAGGACTATGTTGCAGCATCGCTGGCACTTGCTTGCGTTCGCGAAGGCACTTTCGATGCCTCATGGGGCCTCCTTTGGGGCAGATTGAAGTCTATTGGGGTGCCTTGGGGGCCTCCGGGGGCTTTTCGATGACATATTGGAGGCATCGTGGGGCCATCTTGGGGGGTTTCCTGGTGGTCTGGAGGGCCATCTGTCGAGAAGGGGTTCGGAATTTTAGGTCTGGTTTCCCGTCTTCGGACCATTTTGCAGGGGGGGGGAAGTTTCTTGGGCCGTCTTGAGCCACTGGAGTACGCGCTCGAGCGTGAGCTTCGTTTTCAAAAGGAAAACGTCGACCACGCTCGAACGACCGCGCTCCGTCAATTTCTTTCAGATCAGCAGCAATGCGAACGTTCTCAACAATGGGTGTTCCAGAATCCGCACGCATCGCGGAAGCCCACCTCAGCCACGCCCATCAGGGACAATGTAAGACCGCTCGGCCCCCTCATTCAGATTTGCGCAAACGTATTCACATGTACCCGCGCGCGTGCCTTGGCATTGCGTTGCCCCTGCACGTAAGCATGAGGCATCTGCCTGTGGCATGTCCCGGCTCTGATGCCAGCGCCGACCTTTTGTGTGGCGGCCTTTCGAGCATAGTCCAGAATATCGTAACGAGTGACGTTTTTCGTTATCATATACCTGGCGTGCGTTTCTGCGTTGTGTCGGGGTGTTTCTCTTCGCCTTCGTCGCCCTGTCCTTCCCTTGAGGCTTCTGTGGGCTTCTACAAGGCCTTTTTGAAGCCCCTTGGGTGGCGTCTTGGGGGCCCCTTTGGCGCCTATTCGGGGCTCACTCGGCCATCTTGGGGAGGTCTTGTCGGATTCCATTTCTGGTGCCCTGTTGGGCAGTCTTGGGGCCTGATCGGAGCCCGTCAGGGCCGTATTAGAGGTAAGGTACATTGGGTCTTCTTGGGGCCGTATTGGAGGCCCCTTTGGCCGACTTGGGTTGGCGGTTGCCCGAGAAGGTCAGGATGCGGCATTTCCAGAAACGCGCTTGGATAATACATGAGTTTGGCGTCTTCGGGCCCTCATTGGGCCCTCTGGGAGCTTTCTTTGGCTACATTGGGAGCCGTTTGGGCCGTATTCAAGCCATTTTGCACCGCTTTGGGGTATTTCGCCGTCTCGGAGGCATATTGGGCCATTTTGGCAGCCTCTGCGGATTTTCTCGGCCGTCCTGATGCTTCGGAGAGTTTTGGAGAGCCCCAGGGAAGCGTCAGCGCGGCCCAGGAAGCCTCGGGAGGGGAACGCGATGTATGCAGGGAAGAGTGATCAGAAGGGGGCGTAGAAGATTGACAGAAACCTTACCAGACGACACTTGACATTCTGCCGCGTCTCAGCGTGCCCGAGGGCACGGTGGCAGACACGAGCGTATTGTGTACCATACGTCATTGATTTTGTCGAACAGGGGTGGCGACAATGGGTGGATGGGGGAAGAAAAGGGCTTGGGAGAAGGAGGAGGACAAAAAAGATAGTGCGAAGGCGGGCCACGGGCGGTGCTCAGGCAAGCAGGAGCCCCACATTTGGGATGTGGAAGAATCCACGTCCGCGCAAAAAATCGTCCTGGTATTGCTCCTGCTCCTCTTCGCCCTCGTCCTCCTCATCCTACAGCTGCCGCTTCTCTCCCAGCCCCTGCTCGTCCCGCTCCCCTTCCGATTCCGTAGCCGCTCTGGCGCTCACGGTGACGTGCGGCGCCTCTGCAGATTCGCCGGGCAATCGCTAGATGAGCGCGATGAAGGCGTTGCTGCATCTGCGCCGCACGCCGTGCCGCGTGGCATGCCGCAGCTGCGGCGCGGTCCGCGCGCTTGTGTCCGCAGGAGGGGCCTTCGCAACCGCGGGGGCCGGCGCCCCTCGGCTCGGGCGGCGCGCGGGCGCGGCCTGGGTCGCAGGCGCCGCGGGCGCGGGCGCGGCCGGCCTGGTGGCGCTGCGCTGGAGGGCCCCGGCCCGCGCGGAGGAACCCGCGGGCCCCGCCAGCGGGGACGTCTCCAGGCCATCGGGGGCTGGGCCGCGCGTCTTCGTGTGGGGCCAGCGGGCGGCCATGCCAGTCTGCGAGGCCACGGGCGACAGGGAGCCGCCCGGCGACGTGCGGGCGCCCACGGAGGTCGCGTGGTTCCGGCTGCGGGCCGAGGAGCTCGGCTGCCGCTGGCAGCAGCTGGCCTTCGGCCCCAGCTTCGGCGCGGCGCTGGCCGACAGCGGGGAGCTCTTCGTGTGGGGGTCCTGTCCGCGCAGGGGCGAGGCGCGGCGCTTCCTGGAGCCCCGGCCGCTGCTCTTCGAGGGCGCGGCGCCGGGCCTGCGCTTTCGCGACGTGCAGTGCTCCGAGAAGTCGATCTGGGCCCTGGCCACAACTGGCGAGGTATTGGAAGGCAGCGAAACGCACACACGCACACGCACACGCACACGCACACGCACACGCACACGCACACGCACACGCACACGCACACGCACACGCACACGCACACGCGCACGCACCCGCGCACGCGCACGCGCACGCGCACGCGCACGCGCACGCGCACGCGCACGCGCACGCGCACGCGCACGCGCACGCGCACGCGCACGCGCACGCGCACGCGCGCACGCACGCACGTACGCACGCACGCACGCACGCACGCACGCGGTCATGCACGCAGGCACGCAGGCACGCACGCAGGCACGCACGCACGCACGCACGCATCCACACACACACAGACACTTATGCAAGTAATCGTCGATCCCCAGGAAGATATGGGAGAACAGGGGAAGTGGACGGGGAGAGACGAGACTCCAGAAAATATGGGAGAACTGTGGGATGTTGTGTCTACTTATGTGTAGTTGTGTGTCCCTGGGTCCCTCCCAGGTGGTGGTCTGGGAGCGCGCCCCAGCGATGCTTGCGGAGCTGGCTTCCGCGCCGCCCTCGCAGGCGCCACGGGTGGCCAGGGGCGGCAAGCTGGTTCCAGGCATAGGTGGCCACACGCGAACACCTACCCCTACCCCCCACGATTTCTGAGGGGGAGGGTTCGCGTGTGGCCCCCTAAGGCATGGACAGGCCGGTCCGGATCTTGTCCGTGGGCGCCTCGCACGCCTCCTTCATCACGGACGAGGGCGACCTGTACTGCCTCGGCAGCAACAGGTGCGGAGAGTGCGGCATCGACCCGGCCAAGGAGACCGCCGCGGCTGGATGCCGCTTGATCAACTTCCCGCGGCACTGCAACCCGATCGCCCGGGTCAGCTGCGGCAAGACGCACACGGTGGCCATCGGCGCCGAGGGCCAGGTGCTCTCGTGGGGCGACGACTCCAAGATACAGCTGGGCCTCGGCGACACGCGGTCCAACGTGGGCGAGGAGCGGCCGTGGGAGGGCTCCCGCGGGCTCATCCGCAAGATGCAGACGGGGGAGTCCATGGCCACGTCGAGTGCCCTGCGCGGCGGCCCAGACTCGGGTCGGGCGAAAGGGGGGGATTGGGAAAGGGGGGGTTACGAAATTTGCTGCATGCAGCTGATTTCGGCCTCACCGAGGGGCCCATTCCTCGATACATGGCCGCCTCCGGCGCCGGGAGGCGCCGGGAAAATCAGCTACGTGAGCTGATTCTCAAATCCACCCTTTGTTATCCCCCCCTTTCGCCCGACCCGACAGACGCGCCCTCGTCCACGATGGGCGGCTCCGGCGCTGGCAAAAAGTACGGGGAGTTCGACCCGCACCACCAGTGGCGGCCCTCGCTCATGATGGACATCCCGCTGGAGTTCGAGCGGCAGGCCCACGGCACTCCGTACCCGCCGCCCGACGGGGTCGTGTGCGGCGACGACACCAGCATCCTGATCGTGCGGGACAGCCCCGACTGGTTCTCGCCAGAGGAGGGAACGAACCGCCTCTTCTGCTGTGGGGACAACGAGCGCGGCCAGTGCGGAAGGTCGACGCAGCAGCAGCAGCAGACGCTCGCCGCGGTGCGGCTGCCGAGGCACAGCTACACGTACAGCGTCTCCTGCGGGTCGTCGCACTGCGTGGCCCTCGTGCGCCGGTGCGGCTCGCGCAAGAGGGAGGTCTGGGCCTGGGGCGGCAACGACCGGGGCCAGGCCGGCGAGACGCGCGCGGGCGTGGTGTGCCCTGCAGCGCGGCAGCGGCTCCCGAAGGAGGCCGACGCGCGCGTGGAGGCGGTCCACTGCGGCTTCAGCTCCAGCGCCGCGGTCTGCTCCGACCGCCCTCCCCGCGCACCGGCAGGGGCCGAGCCTGGCGCGACCGGTTGACGGTCGGAAGGGGCCCTTCGCTCGTTCGGCGCTCAGGAAAATGCAGCACAGGCCAGGGGGTAGACGGACGGGGGGCGCACACGGAATTGCAGCAGGGGGGTTCAGTTTCAAATCATGAGAGCCTTGTGTGCCCTCGTACTTCTGTCGTTAGAGTGCACTAGCGGCCATGAGCGTCTGGTAATCGATGGTCTAGCGTCGATTAGCGTCGGTCGATTCGCAAGAGCCAACAAGAGGGTATGGGAGGCTCCCATGAGTTGCCGCCGAAGGGGAGGGAGAGAGATAAGCGGCCAGGTACTTAGCAGCCAGCGAGCATGTGGCTGAGACATCACGCGCGCCATCGTGCGCAGGCAGGCCCAGCACCCCGAGGCTGGGGCAGATTTAGCGCCCGGGGAACCGATCTCCATGGGCCCTGGGAGGCGCTGGACATGCACATGCCTGGGCCCCTGGGGGGCCCGAAAACACATCCGTGGCCACTACCCCCTGGGTTCCCGGGGCATCGCCGTCCCTGGCGGCGGACACATGTAAACGCCAGTCTCGCAAGTGCAGCTCGGCCCAAGGACGCCACGAGCACCGTCCCGGGCGGGGGGGGCGCCGAGCCAGAAGGGCTACGGACCAGAGGCGCGGAGAGGGCCTCGGGGGGGCGGCGGCGCGCAGGGGGTGGCACGGCGTGGGGCGTGGCTTTCTGCGAGGCACGGGTTGGCCCGCCAACGACACCCGCGTGCTTCGCCGAGCGCGTTCTGCTATTCGCAAAGCGCCTACTCGCAAGCGTCCGAAAAAAAACACATGTCTGCCTCGATGCATTGTATCGCACATCCCCCATGGCGGATCCAGGCCATTTGCGAGTAGTTACTCTGCGAGCAGTGGAACTCGCTTGTCTAGTACCCGTAAACCAACCACCACCATGCCTGGCCAAGATTTCTAGGACGGTTCCGTGACGCGCGCGGACCGCCGCGAGGGCCCTGCAGGGCGGGGCCAGGACACCCCGCTGGCCAGGCGTGGCGGCGGTGCAGAGAGGCACGCGCATCGGAGGGGTTGCTCCCTGGGAAGTTTGGAGGGCTCCGGTCCATTGTGAGAACCCCCCTTGACTTCAGGGAGACAAGCAAAGACATACTCATAAAACTTCGGAGGTCTGCGCGGGTTCCTCGGATCGGCCCTGGAGCCCCCCCGGCGGCGCCTCCGGCGCCGCCCCTGGCGCGCTCCGCTCGCCAGGGAGGGGGGTCCAGCGCCGATCCGAGGAACCCGCGCAGACCTCCGAGTTGTTCAAGTTTATGCCAATTCCGATTCCTCCTTCTCCTCATTCACCTCCTCCTCCTCCTCCTCCTCCTTCTCCCCCCCCCCAGTCAATGCACCCCTCCGCACCACCAAGTTGCTGCCCTTTTCACCCGTCCTCCTTACATATCACTGGCTGCTTCCTTCCTGCATTGGACATTGGACATTCTCTGCTCCTGCAGGTTAACACTATGTGGCTCAGAGTTAGCGGAAAAGGAACGCGGCCGCGCGCGTCGGCCGGCGTGCCGGCGTCCTCCCTTCAGTGTTATCTCTGTTGCATGCTCAACGGCATTATCATTTCTTGCCCATGTCTTCCGCGAAGCCCATTGACTATGAGGCTTCATCGGGACATATTGCAGGGATGAGAAATTTCCAGGCAAAATACGGGTTATCTGCCGAAGCGACGGCACAGCCGCTCGCTTCGCGGAGCATGGGATTTCAAAAAGGAACGTTCAGAAGACCAGAAGATCGAAGACCTTTCGAGCGTTACATGAGTATGAACGCCTTGGCCAGGCGACAGAACTCTCCTATTTTTCCCAATAAGAAAGCATCAGGGACGATGTTTGGTTTAACAGAAGGGGATTCATCGGTTGATTCAGAGAGAAGATCCAAATAGTTACTCTCGGGTAGAAGGAACGGCACAGCCAGAACATCGAACGAGGGACCCTCTGAAGTGGTGTTGGCACACTTTGGATCTCAGAAATCGATAGACATAGATCTTGAGATGGAGAAGTTGTTGGATACTGCTCCTGTCGAGGTATCAGGTGTTGAACGTCTGGGCACCGAGAGTGCGGTTCGATATACATTGTATAGACAGAGTGAGGATGTGAGCGATGTGCAATCTGAAGGAGAAAGTTCCCACTCGATAGAAAAGAATGAGGAATATGCTCGAGTTCACACTTCGCCCGGTCCGTCGCGTCACCTTGAACCTCTTCTTGATGTGTGTGCTGATCTTGTTTCTGACCATATAATGGTTGAAGCAAGTCAACAAGCCGTTCTTGCTTCGGACGATGAAGGTAAATATGATGGAGGGCTAAATCGAGGTGGGTGCTCATCGGTACAGCCGATAATGAGTTCACCCGACGCTGTACGTGTGATGAGAAGCGCGCGAGAGGTTACAGGGACAACTCCTCGCCCGTTGATGAAGAAATCAAAGAATGAGAAAGGTGACTTGAATGTTTCGTGTTTGTCACAAGGTTTTTACATACCTGATTTTTCATTGCCTAGATCAGGCAGAGATACAGTGCCAGAGCTTGACGAGCTTGTTGTTCAGGATGAGCGAGGCGACTTGACAAGAAACATGTATGTGGATACTTCCAAGAGGGGTGCGAGGACAAGAGAACAATGCACGCCTGCCCTGAATAGCGAGAGGGGGCGTTCCAGCAAGGCCCCCAGGGCCGGGCGTTCCAGCTCCAGAGAGTTTAAGGCTTTTGATTCGCCACGGACCTCATCGAATAGCACCACCAGCAGCTTTTCAATCTGGGAAGTTTGCAGGAACGCCGGGCCGACGCGCCCGTCCCGCGCGGAGAACCAGCGCCCCGGGAAAGCGCGCAAATCGGGGAGCTCATGTCGAAGACCCGTGTGTTCTCAATGCTCGAACGTTTGCCTTACATCTAGCCTAGCATGGCTCTGTAATGAGTGCATCACGATGGAAGAGCATAATTTTCATCATCTTGCGATGCAATAGTGGATTGGAAGAAATAGACAGGATGGGGGGCAGCTGAGGGCTGCGAGTGCGCACGCACAGAAGATTCTTTCTGAGGTGCAGGTCAATGAGCAGGCCGCCGAAGAGGCTCAACGCCGACATGCAATTTCTGAGGCCGAAGAGCAAGCGATTGCGCAGAGGATGGAGCATGAGAAAACCATCGTCGTTGAAGATGCGCATAAGTTGATACAGCCTGCGGAGGCTAATGCAGCGGGCGCCACGGATGAAGCGAAGCGGCGCCTTGCTCAGGAGAAGATTGAGAAATCGGGGATTCAAAGTACAGCAGAACAAGTTGTGTCTGCTTCTCAGCGGGAAGCAGAAAAAGAGAGAGTTGCTTGCAGAGAGATGGATGATGCTGCGAGGAGGGGAGGAGAGAGAGAGAGAGAGAGAGAGAGAGAGAGAGAGAGAGAGAGAGAGAGAGAGAGAGAGAAGAGAGAGAGAGAGAGAGAGAGAGAGAGAGAGAAGAGAGAGAGAGAGAGAGAGAGAGAGAGAGAGAGAGAGAGAGAGAGAGAGAGAGAGAGAGAGAGAAGCTCGAGAACAGGCAGCGCGAGAAAATCAGGAGCTCCGAAGTCAACTCGAAGCTGCTAAACTTGAGGCTGATAGAGTGAAATCAGAAGCATTGCGACCCTTAGAGAACACTAACAAAAGACCCAGGCAACCAGAGAGGAAGACCATAAAATAATGGTCGATGCCTCGGAACGTTTGAAGGGGCAAGCAAAAGAACATATGCGAAACAACGCCCATGCAACTCGGGCAGTATTGCTCGATCTACTAGGAAGCCGGGTGCGTCGCGAGCCTTTGCGCGACCTGGCACTCCGAACCAGGCCTGTCACGTTTGTGCGCAACCTTCGTCCGATGAGTGTAAGGGTTGTTTGAGGCGCGCATGCAGTGATCATCTGGACTTGGGCACCCAACGCTGCGACGATTGCGCTCGGAGGAAAACGTTAGGACATCATTGTGAAACTGACGAGAAGAAAGAACCTCGAGATGGGCCTTGCGCTCAGAACCCAGGCAACGATCCCAATGGGAAGGCGCCGAGACACGATCGATTGGCTCGGTTCGGATCAGCCGGTCCAGTTTCAGCCGGTCCTGTTCTGGTTCCGGCTTGGGCGGTTCGGTTGCAGGGGCCGCCAGCCCACGGTTGCCACATTCATCAATCTTTTCTTGATAATAGGATGTATACAACAATGAGTACTCCGGATATTTGGGGCCATTGCCCGAGAGTTGGGAAGCCCCAGCTTATCGGGTAATTTTGTCGCTCCCTCTCTTAGCTGCCCAGTCTGTTCACACTGCTGTTCTTGGCGCCCCGGCCCTCTTGAGATCCCCGCGTGGATCGCTCGACGTCGCCCCCGCTTCGCGGAGACCTTGGACCTCGCGCTGAACGCCGGGCGTCTTTCTGGTGGCCCCCATGCCAGGCTGGCAGAACTCAGCGGGGGAACGACGCCCGCGGCCCAGAGGGCGCGCCACTTTCCCTCGGACAGGGGTGTTGAATCGGAAGGGTAGGGTAGAGGATTTCTCGCGCGCCTGGCCCGCTGGGGCTTCCATCTCGGGCGCCCTGCCAACGATTGCCGCGGGCCCCGGGGCCCCCCTCGGCGTCGGGGATTGCCGCGCTGAAATATTTCTGTCAATGGCCGACCGCTCGGGCATCGACGCCCTGCGAGGAGAAACTGCGCATCGCGTTCTCCAATCCCGCGGGCGTGCCACTCAGAACTCTGGCCCCGCAAGAGGCGCTGATAGCGATGCTCGCTCTGCCGCCCATGCCACTCGAGTTCGCGTGGTCAGTCGCGCTTGGAGTGCATCGGGCCACCGGGGTTATCTCCGAGCTATCCCTGGCCCCGATGGCAGCGCCCGCGAAGGCGCCGACGCGCGCGCCGAGCTGCTCGCCGGACATTGGGCGCCCATCTTCACAGCCCACTTCGCCGACGAAGAAGAGATTGCCATGCGCGAGCCTCGGCTCCCGCCACTTTCCCTGACGGCGATTCGCAGCGCGATGCGGAAGGTGAGTGCCTGCATGCGTGGGTAATTTTGACGGGTGTCTCTCTCGGACCCTCCAGGGGAAACGCGATTTGCTCTTGGGCCCGACGGCTCGGCG